AGTATCTATATGGGTAGGGAATATCCAGACGTCCTCTCAGCTCCTCAGTGTAATAATCACTGTCTCCAAAGCACCATCGACCCAAGTTGTACCCATAAACTCTCCGCCATGTGTTCGATGAGTACTGGTAGTGAGAGACAAAAACAAAAAGAAACAAGAGGACAAAGATGGTTTAACTTTTGGATTACCGGTACTATATATAAACAAAATACAGTAAAACCAAACTGCCTAAAAAAAATAAAATAAAACAACAAATATTTATTTTAAATTCAAATGCACTATCTAAAAACGTTTTACATCACAATATTCTACGTAAATGATAAGCCTTATGTAAACAAAGAGAAAAGAACGGTATCTGTGTATAGGATAACAATTAGCTGTGCACTCCATAACCTGGCCTTTCTGAAAAATCAGAAAGAGGAAAATTGCTCAAACCCACAAGATTCAACCTTTACAGTTGCCTCAAATAATAAACCTTTTTTTTCAAGTAAAATATAACAATCCTAAACACACCGTGTTGGTGACATCATCATGGTGTGGGGTTCTATTTCTGAGTATTGAGAAGTATACTGGTTAAATTTAATAGGAAGAGAGATGTAGCTGAATCTAGAGAAACTATGGAAGAACTGATGTTGAGAAGTACCAAAAGAAGTTAATAGGAAAGAAACTGTAAACATATAACCAGAATCAAAAGGGGAGAGTTAAGATCAAAGTAGCTCCAGGTAGTGGAATGACCAGACTGACATCCAATAAACAAAAACAAAAAAACATTTATTGAAATATTAATTAAAATATTTACGTTAATGGATGCTTGCCATCCATCCTCCTTCATTAGGATGTTATGCTTTGTTTTCATCTTTTAAAGCAAACTTTAGTAAAATACACTGGAGACTATGGGTTCAGTGTGAGAACCTTTGAAAAATCCTGAGCATGACTACTTTAGCAAGGTTCTCATTCCATCTGTTCACTGACTGCAGTGAACCAAGATATTTATTTTACTGAAAATCCTCGAAAATATGTCCATTGAATGCTTGGCGGTAATCTCTATGTAAAGGTTAGAACATTATGAATATGAAAATTAGAGGAAAAATTAAGCCAAAGTAATTTTCTCGTACACTATTTGATTAATCAAAAACTAATTTTGAAAATCATAGAAGTGAAATTCCCCATTTCCTGGGAGAAGGACACTGAAGCACATATTATGGCAAATGTGCAGCAATCCAAATCCGTATCCCGCCAGATAGGATTTTCCTATACCAGTAATAGAATGTGTAACAATATTGTTATATTAGATAACTTTTATACAACCTTGGTTTAGTGGTAAAATGACCTTAACAAGCCCAGCTGCATACCAGACCAGTGACCAATGAAATTATTTGACACATTATGGAACATAAACAGGGCAGAAGACAGATTTTCAGAGACTTCTAGCCTGTTTATTGTAAATTTGCTTTCAGAGCAGAATGTAGGCTCAGTTCACAGGCAGCTAAAGTGTGAGAAATAAAGAAAAGCAGCAATGGCTTCTCCCAGTTTCTCAAAACCATGTCAAATTAAATAACTCCATAAGTTAAAGAACATGAGCAAACATATAAATGTGTTACTATTTGGATTTCATATATCAGTCAAGCTTTTATGGTTATAAAATCGAAAATCAAAAGTGATATGTGTGATATGATTGCACCACATAATAAAAGTGAAAGCTGTAAAACTTTACTCTGTTCAAAATTCCCCTCAGAAAGGAGAATAGTTGCACATACACAGATTAGATTCAGTTAAATATCACACCGTGTAACTGTACTCAGGCCAGTGAACATTTCCCTGTTGATACATTGTACCCTGTCGGTCTACAGAGAAAAAAGAAAAACAAAACGTCCTGAATATTACTACAAAAGCCAAGGTTGTATGAGGCTTTAAGCTGGAGTTGCATGTGGGAATAAAAAAAAAAATGTTATTGTCATTACACTGTCACAAGAACAGAGCAATGAAATAAACTCTCTGCAATTAACCCATCCCCTTGGGTAGCAGTGGGCTGCCATTGTGCGGCGCACCGGGACCAGTGTGGGGTTAAGGGTCTTGCTTAGGGACCCAGAGTGGCAGTCTGTGGGAGTGGGGCTTAAACTCTGAACCTCTGGATTTCAAGCACAATGCCCTAACCACTAAGCTGCCATTCCCTGCTAACATCTGCCAAAACTTTCATTTAATTTATCTTGGAAAAGCTGAGATGATTCTAAAAGTCACCAGAATAAAATGTGTTCAAGTTGGAAAACAGAGGAAGTCACTAATTCTTATGATAGTAGTAACTATTAGCAGTAAGATAGTGATAGGAATCAGTTAAAAAGTTATTTTCCCTGAATGTGTTGAAATACAAAAATCTGTTCTAACAAATGGTAAAATACACACTTTGGTTAAGCAGGATACAAACAATAACAAATACTAAAAAAGGGTTTATAGCTGTATAATAACCTAATACTGTAAACATTAATACTTAAGAGCTACTCAGGAACTCAAATGTTCTTATTTAAATAGTTAAACTTCAGGAAAGCATTAATCGAAGAAGATGAATTGAACTTTATTGTCATTACACTGTTACAAGAACAGAGCAACAAAATGAACTCTGTATTTAACCCATCCCCTTTGGGAGCAGTGGGCTGCCATTCTGCAGCGCCCAGAGAGGAGATTAAGAGTCTTGCTCAGGGATCCAGAGAGGCAGCCCGTGGGAGTGGGGCTTGGACTCAGAATCTCTAGGATCCAAGTCGATTGGAGACTGCGACCTGAACCATTCGCCTTGGACAGCTTAGTCATCCTAACTTCCTGTTAATGATGTACGTTTTACAATGTGAAAACAAATGAATCTGACATCCATGTAGAAAGAAAATGTAACAATATTAAAGGCTTGAGGAGAAGTAAAGTTAAATGTGTTGTTTTGAAGGAACCAAAATAAAGAAAAAAAGTGCTCCACTAATATACTGTTGCATTGTGCGTTAAATGTCCCACCAGCTCAAACACAAGTGGATGAAATAATACATACTTCTGCAAATAGAATTTCATATTTTGGCTATTTTTCTATTCTAGTCTACATATATATGTTTTTTTTTTATTTTTTTTTTTTTAGTTTTTACAGCACTAGTGGCTCTTCTTTGGACAGTAGGATGACACAAAGGGGGTATGAGAGAGGGGGAGAGACATGGGGCAAAGGACCACAGGTCAGATTCGAACCCAGGTCAGCCATGTCGACCACTAAGGCCTCTGTAGATGGCTCGTGTGCTAACCACTGCGCCACTAAAGCATGCTGCACTCTCTATTTTTTACCCTCAAAGTTTGCTAAGAGAGGATGTAGTCATCTCATATTCAGCCACTTAATTACATGATCTGGACTCACCGGAGAAAGGTACTCAAAGTGGACCTCGCTGACATTGAGGTCAGAGTCTACATACAGGCACTCCAAATGGACGGCTGTGCCCTCGAGAACCGGCTCAGCTGGGCCTTTGATGATCAAGGTTCCTGCACATTGTAAAAAAAACCAACAGACATTCAGCTTAATGAAAACACTATGGATGAGTAGAAGCCCAGCTGACACAGAGCAGGAAGAGTACCTTCTAGACTTCACTTCATAACAACCTGCAGTACTGTGCAGACATTTGTTGCATATTTCAGTTGAAGCCTGTATCCTGTTATGAACAGAAACAGGTTCAACCAGTTTTTGATGGCTGGAAATTTCATCTATGACCTTAGGCTCAAATAACAGGGTAAGGCTTTTCATAATTCCCCACTGTGATGAACCAAGCCAAATCATTTGTTTACATACAACATTTGAATATACAGAGTCTACAAGTCCCCGCGTCTGCCTGACAGATTAGAAAACTATTGTTCCTTAAGAAAAAAATATTAATTTAGACTTTAACAAATTACAGCCACTTAAATCCGGATATACATAACAACAAGCTCTAGGAGAGTTGTAAAACATCAAGGTATAAAGATAAAACATGTTTACCAGTAATCCCATGAATCAGGGCAACCACTGCAGCAAGGAGAAGGAGTTTCATGGCTGTACAAAAATTGTTTATAGATCAAAGAAAGAAGTGTCTCGGTCCTACGCAGCTTCTAAACTGAAATGAAAGTTTGCTTTGTATTAGTATATCACAAAGTAGGTGTGGCTTTCTTTTTTTTAAGGAAGTGCGTTAAGAACTGTTTGAACTTGTAAAAGCTCCTAGTTTGTATTTTCATTTTTAATAGCGAAAATAAACCCAAATGGATTGGTAAGGCTTCACTAAAAACACATGAACAGTGTCAGGGATTCATATTTAGCTGATGTGAATAAACACAGGAATGGTTATGCACAGATAGACGCGCCTGCCGCTCCTCCAATACTCAAATTTATCCTCAGTGCGTCATCTGTTCCTGTACAGATCGGCACCGATCACCTTTAATTTCGGTGTTTTTTTTTTGTTTTTTTTTTTCCTCGCCTCTTCACCATAACTTGAAACCACAGGCCGCGTTGTTTTTTTTTTTTTTTAGGCATGATGAACCGCCAAACAAACCAGCTTCCCACGCTTCATTTATATTGACGAATATTTTCCAAAGCGCAAGTTCAATGATAAGCGCTGTCTGGGTTGTAAGCCATGAAATGAGCGGCGTCATTTAGAAACTGGCTTTTTTTAGGCGGATAAGTCCACATCTAATATTAAAGTCAGTGGAATTTGAAAAGAACAACAAAATGATAATAATTAAAAATATATAATAACGTTTAAATCTATCTATTTAGGCGCTTTATGACTTTGGGAGGAATGTGTTTGTCGTTGACTTATCTTCTTCTAAAATTACTTTTCTGCCTAATTCATACAAAAGTGTAAAATATGGCGCATTTAATACCATAAATGCGACTTCCTAACATTAACAAGGAGTGCTCTTCTTTGTGTTTTTGAGCAGCAGGTGGCAGAATAGGGCATAACATTTTTGCCAACCGCCATAAAAATTTAAACAAGAAGAAGAAGAAGTAGGGCCTCTCACACAGGAAATAGACGGGAGCTAAGCGGAAGTGTCGAGAAATATTGCTAGATTGTTTTTGGATGTCTGGATTGAAACAGAGTTAATTTCTCTCTCTAACGCAATTATATGTTATACTAACATAAAATATGGGCAGGTAATATCTGTTTAGCAGGGTAAGTCTGCGCATTTGTACCTCGGTTACTGTCTAAGCTTGATAATTGTGCACCGCCAAATTTGCTGCTAAGATTAGCCGCTGAAGCTAACGTCATATATTGATAGTAAGCGTTTGTTTTTAGCACACAGGTTGGGTATCATCTAAACATTAAAGGTTTCGTTGTTGTATTCTAGTAATTAGGATCTCAAGATACGCCTCTATGTTTTCTATTGTTAATTAAGTTTTTTTTAAGCGTCCCGACTTAGATTTTCCCCCGAAAGCGTCGTGTTTTACGGTAAAGCTACGATTAGCTTAGCGTAGATTTAAAAGTACAGGTGACTACAGTTTTAACTGTAACTATTTTAAAAGTGAACGGAATATGTCCATTTGTGGTTTTTAGAAAAGTAAAGTATTTTTGAATGTACTAATATCTCTTATTTTCATTACTCATTGTAACGTTTCCAATTGACAATCTGGTTATATAATGTCGCTACATCAATTAAAGAGCAATGGAGTTAACAGACCAGCTTTACTGGCGGAGAAATGGAAAGCTTTTTATTACGGTTTATGTTTTTTTAACATTCTGCACTTAACCCTGTGTCATATAACCTACCAGAGTTATGAATCTTAACGTATTTTTTTTCTTCTATTACAGGTGCAAATCTGTTTAAAGAAGTAATCTATTACACCGGTGCTATTGGACAGTCCTTCAACACTCCCCCAGTCATTCATAGGCCAGAAACGTGTTGATATCTCTTCATTAACTGTGGCCACAACATGGCTAACAGCGCCCCAATAATAGTGAAGGGTCTGTCCTCAGGTCCTGCAGGCAGGAGCAGTCCAGAGGGATCTCAGGTATAACGTTCTATATTTTTTTTTTTTTATCATCCTTTAGGATTTTTGATTGTGTGTAAAAAAAAGGAACAGTTCTTAGTTTGTCATCAAAGTAATTTAAAGAAATTTGGTCATTGTTTACAAATATTGTTATTACTGTTATGTGACAAAGGAAAGAGGTAAAAGAACAAGTGAGGAATAGCCATTTTAATGACAGTTTATGTGTTTTAAAATAGTGTAGCAGCTGGACCATTTCAATGATGTTAAATAAAAATATTTTCTCTTCTGTAAAACTATTTTTTTTTAATATTTCTTTTCCTCCAGGTGCTCAGTAAGAAGAAGCTACAAGACCTTGTAAGAGAGATTGATCCAAATGAACAGTTGGATGAGGATGTTGAGGAGGTCTGTTTGAAATTCAGTTCTGACTTTCAGGGGTAGTTTGGGTTTTTCATGTGATGTATTTCTGTTTTATCACCAGCAAGACGTCCTTACCTGTCACAGATAAACTCAGTTTTCCTATTTATATCTCAAAAACCTAAGAAATTAGTGGGATACTCATTGATGGCCAGAAAGATACACCTTTTGTATTTATATTTTTATGAAAATGTTTAAATTCAAACATTTCACTCTTAAGTTTGTCAATGTTTTTCATAAAAAAAAAAAACAACAACTTCTATGCGTTAATCCTATCCCATGGCTTTTTGCCACGTCAATCTAGTTCTTTACCTCTGGCTTGTTAGTCTGCTATTTAATCTACAATAGTAGAATAAACCCCTTTAAGGTTTTGTTACAAGCTATCAATTCGAACAACAGACTATAACATAAATCATTGTGCTCCATCAGGGTCGGTACATTTTTTTCGAAATTTTCCTGACAGACTCAATGATGATGATGCAAACTGATAAGCTTAAGTGCTTTGCCAACATTGTTTTTAGCATTGTAACAAAAAAGTTAGCATCTGTTTTGTGATATAACAGATCTGTCTTTTATTTATAACCTTTATATTTCCACTGAATCCTTGTTAAATGCTTACTTCAGATTGTTACCTGGTTTTTACAGATGGTTTTTAAATATCTGGTCATTTGGATCTCTTTTCAGATGCTGCTTCAGATTGCAGATGACTTCATAGAAAGTGTAGTGACAGCAGCTTGTCAGTTGGCACGTCATCGCAAATCCAATACACTGGAGGTTAAAGATGTTCAGCTACATCTAGGTAATTTCCTTGTTTGACTTTTCAGCAGAAAAATCAGCACTTGGTATTTGAACAGTTTATATTTTTTTGTATGGAGTTTTTAGAAAGTGATTTTTACAATATCTAAAGGTTTTAATTAAGAGTCTTTAATTGGTTGAGTATAGGTTCAGTCCATGGGCATGAAGCCCGATTTAACCTGAGCTTGACTAACACACTTCAGTTGTGGCTCTGAGCCCAAAGAAATTATAAAGGGTTTCAATATTTTATTTGAGGTATTATTGTTACTAGCCTCCACCGCTGTTTTGAATGCACATTGCAAGGAACGCTATAGTTAACCCACACTCGGCACCATAGACTTCACATTAAGCAGTGAATCGGAGCAGGTCCATCCTTCCAAGAAGTGTATGTCATGCATACAACATGCAGCGTTTTCAGTGGAGAGTTGACTGATGTGCTATCTTTTCCTGCTCCTGTTGCTGCAGGACGGGTTCCTTTATCCTGACTGAACCAAGCAGTTCCATGGTCATGTGTGCACTGCATGGCCTGCTCATGTCTGATTACCTGTTGCATTTTAATTTTTCTCTTTCACAAAAGAGTAAACAACAGCTAAAGTGCTAGATTTATGTCTAAAAATAATTTAGATACACTACAACTAAATAGCCTAAGCTTATATCACACAAGAGAAAAAAACAACCTGAATTTCTGCATTCAATTTTTGCTTAAAAACAGGTTTGTAATATTTTCTTCCATGTTTGTTGTGGATGTTAGTACTTGTATATAGGTAAAGGCCCCCAAATCAGATATGTGGCAATAAATATAACAAATGCTAATAATCCAAAGGCATTTGTTGCTGATTGCCTTTATATTTGTTTCTCACCAGAGCGTCAGTGGAACATGTGGATTCCAGGTTATGGATCGGATGAAATCAGACAGTTTAAGAAAGCTTGTACCACAGAGGCTCACAAACAGGCATGGGGGGAAAACTTGTGCTTTTGGGATAAGTTATTCATAAAGGCAAGTGTATTGGTGTGCTGGACTAACTGTTTTGTTTTGTTTTTTTGTTTCAGAGAATGGCGCTGATCCGCAAGACAACCAAAAAGTAGCACAAAAACTATATTGTACCATCTCTGTATATGTTTGTTTTTTTCTTTTGTTTGTCTTTTCTGAGTAATGAAGTAACATTGGTGTGTTGAGGGGTGCTTAAATTGTGATTTTTGTCTCTTTAACGTTTGACTGTCTTGCAAGAATCACAAAAAAAAAAAAATTGCTATTCATGTTTTGATCTTTTTCGTTGCCATTAAATCCAGACTGGCAGATCCCCATCTTATTATTTTGAATTAATGTTTACTGGATTCTCTTTTCTTTTTTTTTTTGTATTGAATATTATTGGTTTTGCTTTTGATACTGTTGAGCATGAATTTGTGAGTGTTACCGACTCTTAAGCCTTCTGAGGAAGGTAATTTATAATGTTTTGCCAAGGTACATGTTAGGCATGAGAAAGCTTTCTGTTTACTCACTGTACTTTGTATTCCCCTTTGCATTTTCTGACAATTATTGAAAAGAAATGTATGCAGTTAAATTTTCAGTGTCTGAATAAAGAAATTATACTGGTAAATTACAAAAAAAATGTAAGCGTGAATTATATGTGGGAAAACTGAAGCTTAGCAATAGAGAGACGATAGGCACTCCACTTATTTTTAGCTCTTATCTTTGCCTTTGGTGGCTGTTGTCATTTAGGAGTGAGGATCCTAGGAGATATTTTACATGGTTCTTAATATTTAGGTATTTAGTCAATGCTTTAAAAAGTACAATTAATAAAACCATTTAACGCATTTTACCTGGTGGAGTTCAAAGTCCCATATTACCTCCCAATTGTGTGAAGCATAGAGTAACGGAGAACAGTCCTTGCACCTGTTGCTGTTCAAATTGTCAGCCGTTTAAAAAAATTATGTACAAAAAATACATTCAGCTGTAATCAATATTTTATCATCTGAGCAGCAGGATTAATACTTTTTTATGTGGTTGGAATGAATTATACATTTCCTTTTTTGTGTGTGTGTCTAATACCATGGACTTGTGCTATGTTTACCCAATGTTACACTGCCTTTGAGTCTGATAAGATGTTGCTGGTCAGTAAGACCCCATTCAAGACTCAGAATAAGGTAATAAAAAGGAGGAGCCATTTAAAAAAAACATTTCTTCTGGTATACAGACTAACAAATCAGCTGATAACACACTATGTCTTAATAAACAAGGTCAGCACACAGGGTTCATTAATACGGATCACTGAAAGTTAATAAAAAAGTCAGAAAGTTCTAAAAGAACAACATCAGAGGCACCCAAGAGATTTATTTCAACACCTGAAAACAAGTTATTTTCTTTACGAAGATCTAAGATAAGGACATTTTTTAAGCTAAATAGGGACAATGGTATGTTTTTACTGCTCCCTGGTACAAACAAGTTACAGGAAGGAAATACCTCTGCTCCTTGTTTTAAGTTACAGCATGAGTGTATTTATATGTCAAAGGTACATTTATTTGCTGTTTCAGTTAGTGATAGTGTTCCCCTAAAAGCCTGACACCACATCTCTGAGACATTTCTTGAGGCCCCTCTTAAAATATGAAATATAATGAAAGCACTTATCCAGTATGTGCTACTGGTTCAAATGAAAGAAAAAATCAGTGTGATAAAAAGTGGGATACTACCACATGTTTCAGTTTGAGTGAGAGAGTGAGAATAATTTCTATTTCTAACAACTTATGCAAAAAGCAAACTCCAGGATATTAATTCTTACAGCTGTTTTGCTCCTAGACTGAGATTAAATGTTGGCCTCATCAGTCCATTAGTGCAATAGGCTGTGGGTCAATGACATATTAAAGGAGGGAGAGAAAACTTTAGTAAATATAAAAAGCTATTTGTTATCTTATTTGGTTATAAGAATTCACACTATTCTCAATTTTATAAAATGTATGTTTCAAGAGCCAACCTAAATATACATTTAATATCAGATTTGTTCTTTACAAAAACATTGCTGCCCTTTATAAAAAAAAAAAAAAAAAGAGAGAGGACCTGAACCAGGAAGCTTATATTTGTGATGGTGTTACATTTAGGTAAATGCAGCACGTTACAAAATGTTCAGACCCCTTAAACTTTTATTCATTTTATGTCAAATCACAACCATAAACTTCACTGGAGATTTTAAATATGACCCCTACTAAGTCATGTAATGTAGTAAAATGGACTGACAGTAATAACCTTACAGATGGAAATATGATACATTTGGTGTGCATATACATTATATTCACACTTATTTAATCTGAGACCTCCTGAATAAAAAACAGTGACTTCACTAAACATTTACTATATCGAGTCTACCTGTATGCAATTTTTCATTTGTATAAAACTAACGATTCAGTAAAGAACAGGTTTTGTTAGAAAACATTAGTGCAAAAGCAGAATAATGAAGATCAAGGAACACACCACAGGCTAAGCGAACAAGAATTGGAGACTTAAGCAGGATTAATTTATAAAACAATAGTTTTATAACAAAAGCTTAAGCTCTAATGAGAGAATTAGCCAGGATGCCCGTGGTAACACTGGAGGAGCTGCAGAGATCAACAGTTCAGGTGAGATAATCTGTGAAGCCTTGCCCTTCAAAGATCTAGCCTTTATGAACAAGTGACCAGAAGAAAGCTGTTTAGAATGGCATTCTAAGTCACACATGAAAAAATGAAAAAGCCGTCCTTGCTAGATGAGACCAAAACAGAACTTATAAACCAAATTCTATGCATGCCTTGAAACCTTGTAGCTATCCATGAAAAACACCATTCCACTGGGACACTTGGTTTCTCTTCTTCAACAGATAAGCTGGCCAGGGTTAATATAAAAAAACAAAACATACTGTATAGCAAAATACAGGACTGGGAGGAAGCCAGCATAAATTACAATAGGCTGGATGTTTGTTTTCAAGCAGCGCAATGGTGGCACAAACACAGACAGATCTGCAATGGAACAGCAAGATCAAAGCATATCTGTGAGTTAAAATGCTGTTGAGAATTGGAGCTATATATAAATAAACTTAATTGAAAGTTGAAGTGAAAATCTATGCCACGCAGCAATATGACAAAATGAGAAGATAAGAGGAATAGATATATATGCAACACAGCAAAACATTCAATCTAAGTAATTTTTCTTCAAATAGCATTTTTTTCTTGAATTGATGAGGTAAGTGAGACCCTTTGCCATTTAGAATAAGAAAAAACAACTGCCACTGACTATCTCAAGTGCTTAATATTTAAATATCTTATTTTAAGGGTAAAAATGCTCCATTGGCTGCTCATCATATTTACCTGCTCAAAGTATGGGTACTCATTTTTTTTATTGTTTTGAATTGAAGGCACTATAGATGTCAAAGTGTTGGTAAAAAACTAATACATTTCAAAACTATCATCAAGGGTTTAATATCTCATAAATATTTAGAACTTTCCACTTATAGATACAAAAGTACATTTTGAGTGTCTTTTAGGGTGGTTACATTTCCCAATGGCACCATTACTCCAACCTTCCAGCTTGCACAGCAGCATAGGTTTGTCAGTCCAGTATTTACCCACAGCACTTTTTGTTGTTATTGGTCGGTGAGCTGGGTTTAGACACACTGTTTCTTTTTGACTGCAGCGCCTGTGGAGCAACACACTTGACACCATCCCAGCCCTCCTGCAGTTGCACTTCTCCGCTCAACAGACCCTGGTAGACCCTCCGAGTAAGGAGCTCGAATGACTCCCTCACGTTTTTGCCCGTCTTCGCAGAAGCCTCGATGTAGGGCATCCCCAGCTGTCCGGCCAGTTTCTGGGCCTCTCCCTGGCTCACCGCTCTCTCACCATCAGCATCCCGGTCAATCTTCTGACCCACCAAGACAAACAGAACCTTCTGTGGCTGCACTCGCTCACACACCTCAGCGTGCCACTCCTTTATATGGTCAAAAGATTGCCTGCTGGTGATGTCAAACACAAGCAGTCCTCCAACTGAGTTGCGATAATAGGAACGGGTCACTGATCTGAGAAGGGAAATGGGGCAAGGGGGAAAAGAAACAGTCAATCTGGGAGGATTGTTTGATTATTTAACACAAAATAAAGTAAATAGAAAGTCCAAAGTTCAGATTATACTTCATCTTATTTCCTTCTTCACTGAGCTGAATCGTGTGAGTCAAATTCTTTCAGATAAGAAGGTAGTAAAAGAATCTCTCTCTTTGTTAGTAACTGATAGCTGCTCTGTTTAACTATCAACAAGTGTGGAGATCTCCCATGAGTCACCGACTGTTTTTAAAACAGGCTTAGTGAGACAGCCTCCCACGGATGCAACTTTATTACTTCATTAAAAACTACCGCAACTTTTTTTTCTTTTCTTTTTAGCTGACTGGTTGGACTGCAGAGCTGAGGTAAATACAAACGGGCTCAGAGTGCAATTTGTCACAGTTCATTCAACTGGACAACAGAAATAATGATTTAGAGGCAAAATGAAACAGGCTACTTCCAGTCTTGCATTAATATGCTGAGTAAAGACAAAGGTGCCCCTGTTGAAGGATTGCAGCGGCTGCATTTCTGTACACATTGCACACTGAGCTGGTGCTGGCTGTAAGTAAACACAGATCAACAGCTTGGAGGAAACTGGAGTGGTTCGTTTGGGTGCTGCATTTGCATACACTTCAACTGTTCTATGATGTTCACAATGAGAATAGTGTTTTCAAGATAACTGTCTAATAAAAACAGCTTAAGGGCTGTAGCACCAGGCTTAGTGCTTACAGAAGTTTTATGCAAGTGTAATAAACTCTTACCTGACATATTATTAGGCAGGGCTGTTTGATCATGTTCTAACACAGGTGATTCTGCAAATCCTGAGGGAGCATTTATTTCATATTGGGTCTTTAGATCTGGTTAATGTAGTTGCTAAGGTTGAAACCAACCATCAGAAATGGGCAGAAATGGAAAATAAACATTAATAGAATAGAACAAAAATCAATTTATTGTCATAAAATGGGGAAATTGTGGTGTTACAGCAGCATTACAACAGCAATTAAATGATTATTGTTGTCAGACGTGTTGCAATGAGTATTTCAGAAACTGCTAATCTTCTTGGGTTTTCACACCATCTCTCAGGTTTGCAGTGAATTGTCTGAAAAAGGAAAAAAGGTCCACATAGCATGGCTGTTGGCTCCACAAAACTACCTTAATGATGTCAAAGGATTGAAATGATACAAGGGCAAAGGTTGTACAAGTTACTACTACAAGTTACTACTTGTAATAACAAAGGTTGGAAGAATACCTGAAACAGACTATAGCACTATGGCTGAGCAATGACCGAATAGAAGCATTGTTGCCTCGTCCAATGAGTCTATTTGAGATGTTCAGCTTGTTAGGCTAGAATTAGGTACAAATAAAATAAAAGGTGGATTCAGTCATAGTGTTAAAATATTTTCTTGGCAAACTTTAGACCCAAATTGAATCAGGTGGATATTACTTAAACATCACAGCGTCCTTAATGCTATCGTGGACCATCTCCATATCTTATTGACCATATATACCTATGTTCTGATGCTTACTTTCTGCAAGATAATGCACCATGTCACAAAAGGTCAAATCATGTCAAACCGTTTTATTGAACATTATAATGAGTCTACTGTAATCCAATGGCCTCCACAGGCACCAGATCTTAACATATTGGAGCATCTTTGGGATATGGTGAGACACAGGACCCACATTATGGATGTGCACCAGGGAAATCAGCAGCAGCTGTGTGATTCCATCCAGAGAATATAAAATCTCTAAAATGTGTCTTCAAAAGCATTAAAGGCAGGGTACAAAGAATAAAGGTGATTACAAAGGACAAGGGGACTCTTGCCTGGTCAAGGGAAAGAATACCTACTAAAGTGGCTGGTTAGTATATTCATACATCCAACAGTATAATGGAGCCATGGAATAAAAAATGTCTTTAGAAAAGGTGTTAAGCAACATCCAATATGATTCTCACCTGAACCTCTCTTGCCCAGCTGTGTCCCAGAACTGCAACTTTACCCGGACCCCAGGCTCCACCTCAAGGAAGTGAACGTAAAAATCTACACCCACTGTCTGGTTGATAGACTCCAAAAACAAGTCCTCAGTGTAACGTTTTAGTAGGGATGATTTGCCCACAGTGGAATCCCCCAGCATGATGATCCTAAACTGGTACTGCCAGAGCGTCAGGTCCATTCTTGCTAAAAGTGAAAAATGATATTTTAAACAAAAATTCAACCCTTGGGATTTAAATGTTTGCTGTAAATAGATAGAGAATAACAAGGCTCATGAAAGGTTAAAGGGACGTACAGCGAACAGGAATATTCTAAAGGTATGATCACTCCTACATTATCATTAAGCAGGAAAATTCCTTACCTCTTACACTCCAAGAGTTGGGAAACAACCAAACAGCCACTCCTTGTTAATCTTCCAAACATTTGCACAGTCCAGGATCACTCCCATCCCAAAATGCAATACATTTCATAGCTAGGCTTTTAGTAGTTACCCATCAAATCTAAAATGCCCTGCACGATAATGTCAGTAACACAACAGCTCTTATGTAAGCTCCTGATGGTAAATGATACTAGCATGTTCATAGTCATGCAGGGGTGTGGACTTTAAAGTTTGCTTGTTGATACTTGACAAAGGGAGGGGCAAACGCACAAGGACACAGGGAGGGCTGTTTTGGACAGGGGAGGGCTTTGTGGGTGGACGCTCTGAGGTAGTGTGTAACACCATGTAAAGGGAAACTACAGTTTCCTGTTGATATAAACTGACATACATGTGTAAGTCATGAGTATGCATTAAAAATGGGGATGAGAGTGGGTGTTCTGTCAACACAGTTTGCAGCAGTTGTAATCATTTTATGATCATGTGTTGGGAGTGTACATTGCAACCAAAAAAGGGAAGTTGATAACAATGGAGCTTTAATTCCCATGAGAAAGCATGAGGATAAACCTGATGCTGTAACAGTCCCTGAATACATTCCATTAAAAGAGAAATGCGTTTTAAAGGTTATAGCCTATGAATGAAAATGTTTATAATTCATTATCTCAGAAACTTTAACTATAACATAGGATTCTACATTTTCAAGCATAAACAATCAACAAATATGATTAGCCACAATGCTCATTCAAAAGAAATATTTTTTTTCTCCAGCAATAGATGAAAAACCCAACAATTCATTATCTTGCCTCAGATAATGGGATTATATCTGTACTTGTCCTGTTAAATCTCAGTGCTGCATTCGACAGTTGATCTGAATATTCTTTTAGAAAGGCCTTAGACATTCTATAGGGATATATAGTATGCATAGTATATATATATATATATATATATATATATACCAACTCTGAGCTTATATAATATATATATATATATATATATATATATATATATATATATATATATATATATATATATATATATATATATATATATATATATATATATATATATATATAGTATATAAGCTCAGAGTTGGTAGCATTATCAAACAGCACTGGATTAACTTCCATTGTTATGCTGATGATACTCAGCTATCTTTGTCCATAAATCCTGGTGAAACGAACCCATTTCAGACATGTCTTGGAGACATAAAAAAACCACTGGATGACTAAACTTTCTGCTTTTTAATGCAGACAAAATGAGGTTATTGTTTTTAACCAGTCATTAAAAAGAAGCTGAAGAAGCCAAGTTGGCCTGGTTCTGCTGGAACTTTCTTCCTGTTAAAAGGAGTCTTTCTTTCCACTTCTACATGCATGCTCAGTGTGAGGCATTGCTGTAGAGTCAGTGACACAATGCAGGCGAATATCTACTGTCACCATATGCTCATCCAGGAAGAGCATGTCCTGTAGTCAGTAATCAGCTGGTTTTAGTTTGATAAAAAGAAAAAGGTTTTACCAATTTGACTGTATGCTCGAATTGAATTGTCTCCATAAATTGTCTTGAGATGACATATGTTTGGAATTTGAGCTGCATAAATAAACTGAAAAGAAAAATAAACTTAATTGAACAATTCAGTCAAGTGTATGCTATTAACGCAAAAGTTTGATTTTTTGAAGTGAAAATTAATGTGGGATTTTATTTAACTGTAAGTCACAACCATGGTAATGAATGGAGAAAAATGTTCTGCCCCCAAAAAAGATAAAGATACATAAAATAGAAAATAATTGAAAATACGTTTATACATGCAGGTGATATGAGGCCAATAGTCTAAAGTTTTTTTGTTTTTTTTTTGCTGAAACTAAACAGTTGATGAATCCAGGCCAGGGTCACTTAACATTCACTAAACTATGACAGAAAAATACCAGAACACAGAATGTTCTGAGTCAAATATGGCAGTAAATGGCTCCTATGCTCCAATAAAAGATAGAACCCATCCACACAATTCCTTCTGAAAGGAAAAATGCATAAACCATAATTATTTTAATGCTTCTAATGTTCTTTCTGCTAAACAAGTGGCCTGACAGAAGGATTTCAACATATCTAGGCTATGTGAAGGTTTCTTGGGTTCATAGTGGCTTGATGTATAATTTTCTATAGAAACTTCCACAGCCTCAAGCACATTTTATTCAGTGTTTCCTTTTTTCCAGGTAATGTAAATCATTTATGTTTTCTGTGGTTCAGAAATAACTTGAATCAACAACTGTTGTTCTGCAAATGTCTGAAGGTAATGGGTCTTGTAGCGTTGACTCTATCCTCAGTCTACACTTGTAAAGCTCTTTTAAAATGGATTTTGCTCAACAGTCAGCTCAACAACATAATTTACTTTTTTTTTCTCAAAGGATGTCACATCAACAGAAGGGGGGGATAATTTTCAGGATAACAGCCACTTATGTTAAACCTATGTAAAAAGACTGATTTGTATCTAAAACTTGTTCTGTTAACATCCAAAATTTTTAATTAGTTCAGCTAAAAATAAAATACATTTAAATAAAAAGAGAAATGTATTTTTAGCATAATAGGTTAAGCTAAGATGTGATATTTTTTTTCTGGCCTGGGTTTGGCCACGTTATTAAAATTAAAGAACAGCTCATTGATCTTCACATTCGTATTGCTCAATTGCTGCTGTAAGTTATTTAGAAACTTTATGAAATAAGGAATATAGCAGTGATTCCTGACACTGATAATTTTATGGTGGCTGCATTGATCTAATACTATGGTGTTAATAAACTTTAACTGCAACACTCATTGCTCTATTAATCCATTTTTTGCATATTCATTTATAGAGCTATTAAGCACTGAAGGTATAGCTACACCCACCGTGTGTATCATTATATTCAAAGGTCAACTAGGTTTATATTTTATAAAATCGCTGTTAAATCCTCATTAGTTACCATCGTATAATCACGCTATAACCTGTCAGTCTAGGTTAACCACTGGTAAGGTATCAAGTTATTGGGTGTGAAATTAAGAGTAGCTGACATCAGCTTTAAGGTAGCAGATAAACTTTAGAGGTTAATACATGGAAGAGAACAAAGTCAATGCAGATTGGTTGATATATGTATATTTTAAGAAGAAAAAACTACTTTTTTGTACCATCAGATACAAATAACAATAAAAATTTGTATATGAAATAGTTTACTAGTCAAATTTCTGCCTAATAATACCATATTATAAGAAGATGCAAAATATTTTTTTTCCTGTTTGAACCAAATGTATTACTGCATCTTTAATATCCTTTTTAAATTGTTAAGGTTTGGGATACATTTTTAGCTAAATTTGTGTTCTTTACCCTGAATTATAAACCAAGTAGTGAACATTCTGGATAAGCCCAGTCACACCATACCAAGAAGAAATTTTAAAAAGTTTTTACTGTATATCGTAGGAATATATTGTTTTAACCGAAAAGGCAGAAAACACCTTAAGTACAAACCTAAAGTTATCTTAGTTCCCTAAACTAAGCAAATGACAAATGCTAAAGGCAGGAAATCTAGAAATCACATGACCATATTTAGTGGTGGCTAATGTTGGGGGCTGGAAGTAGTTGAGTCTGCTTTGATAATCTCACTAAAAAAGGTTAAAAAACAACTTACTAACAGATTTCAGCCTTAATGGCCGCCAGCCTTTCTTGAAACCTATTTGGGTCACTTGTTGGCCTAAGCTCTCTCCACATCACATCATAATATCCAGTCTGTTGAAACATGTATTAAAAGTCCCACACATTTTCACTTGCAGCAGCTTTGACACTGATTCAGATGTTACAAGGTTGTGGAGTCAATAAAATTCCTATCATATTAATGTGTGCGATGTGGAGCCAAACTTAAAACAAGGTGTAAAGGTCATCAGCATAAATGTTTATTGTGTTGCTATTTCTCTGCAAGGGTGTAGAAATAAAAAAACAAAAAAACAAAAAAATTAAATAAAACCATCATTTTTTTTTATATATACATACAGTAACATTGCCTAATAACTTTTAAAGTGTTCCCCGAATAAATCATGGCAAAACGTGTTTAAAGCAGCAAAACCAATAAGTCAGGCAGAGTTGGTGTGCAGAAGAAACAGCAGCTTGTCATGGGAGGATTGGTCCAAGCTGAACAAAGCAAGGCAAAGCAAGTTTATTTGTAAAGCACAATTCAGTACATGGACAATGAAAAGCTCTTTACATTAATTATATATTAAAATAGAAGTAAAATAAAAGCAGAATAATATCAGTTAAATATGAAAAAAACATGAGTAAAACGGTTGGACCACAACCTTAGACTAATAACACCTCAGTTAACAATTTTACTTCCACAATCAAAGCATTGAAGAACTGCATTTTTATTATTTTTGTAGGTATTTTATTGCTGTTTTAAGGTAATTTTGTTGGAATTTTAATGATATTAACTAAAGCACAATTAGCTTTCTATTGCTCAAACCAGATACAACAATTTAAAACTCATATTCTAACCTAAAAAGAGCCTTTTGAGGAATAGAAAGGAATAGAAAATATTGGAGTTTTTTTTTAAAGCAGAGCTTTAATTGTGCATTCACCTTCTATAAATTAATTTTCAATGGATGTTAGCTGTGTGTTTGAAGAAGTAGCTGCTCTTTTGCACAACTCAAACAATTCCAGGAACACTTTTTGTATGGTTGCAAAAGTCCAGAATAGTTTTCATACTTGAACAGCATCTTTTATTGAGTAAATTAACTGCTTTAGTGTTTCCCCAAAATGTGTAGAAAACTCAGTTTTTAATCAGCTCCGTTGGTTTTCCTGAAACAACAACCCATCTGTTTGTACAAAGAAGAAACAAGGAGGGAAAAAACCTAGGATTTCCTGCAGATGCAGACTCAGTATACCTGTTTTGGATATGAAAAGGTTGGTCACAAACCTTATACTCCCTTCCATTTACCCTGGGTTGTGCTCTGGCATTTCCAATCATCTGTCAAGATCAAATAGAACGCTAGTCCTTCCTTGCTGATACGGTGTAATATGAGCACAGTGTGAAAAAAGAAGACAGCCTACCCCAGAGTGTTTGCTTTCTGGGTTAAATTCAGTTGAGTTGGCATCTGTAAAATGCAAGTGAAAGTGAGATCAGCTCTGTTTCCTAAAAGCATATGTTCTTTCACCATGTATGCGTTTTTAGAGAGTAGAGCAAAAGGTTCCCTTTACATAACTTTTCTTAACATGGTCAACTCAGC